AATCAAATTCAACATATTCAATTAACGTACGAGAATAGCACGGAAGTGTCAATCACATTATCGTGGACAATTCTCAGTGCCTTGAGGTCATTTTCAAGAGCATGGCCAATTAATATCGTCTCAGAGTTGATCATCTCGAATAAGATCTCTCTGACCTGAAAAACTTTTAGTGTGGGGAACTACAGTAAAAGAACAAGATCATCCACACAACCATAATAAGAATATAGTCATTCATTTCTTAGCTGATTTCTGACAATTTTAACAAAAAATCAGCACATAAATACTACAGAGATACATGACTATAATCTCATAGAATTGGCATTCCTATATTTGCAAAAAATCTATAAATTAATATGCTGTCAGAAAAACTTTTTGCCACTTTTGCAAAAAATCTCGAATTCATTTTTTTTTCCCTGGTACTCAATAACATGAAATATCACTATAGACAACATGTTGTCATGCCTTGCCATAGCCGCATGGAGAGATTATTCTAAACATTCTTATTTTTCATTTATTTTTTGTTCTTGGTTTCAAAAATACAACAAACTTTTGTGGTGTTGTAAAGACAGTTGAGGTCTAATATTACAAATTTTACTTTCTGCATCGCTTTCGTTGCCGTGATTTCTGAATTTTGAAAAAAAAAGGAGTGGTCAATGCTTAGGCTCAACGATTATTCAAGTCAATATAGCAACGAAAGACTGAGAAAAAGTTTGCACATCTAGGTAACTGCGAACTAATGGTTAGCCTTTATTCACACTTTAGTTCGAACATTCCACATCAATTTCGGAAAAGTAGGCAAAATCCAGAAGAAATTGGTGAAAAACTTTTCCGACAACCTAATATCTTTATAAAGAACGTACATCACTCAGCGTAGTTCCACTGCTTGCAATATCTTCAGCGGTCAATCCAGAGTATCGTGTATTTGGATCCACTAACTCATGTTCTGGTCGAAATACACAATCCACAACTTCGTTACCATATTCATCCACCATTGTCACTCTAGCTGCTTCTTTTCCCCATGTTGTATATACAAATTCACAGTCAAGAGCGTAGAACTAAATTGAGCTAC